GGGGGGGGGGGGGGGTCGCGGAGAGGGCGCAAAACGCGTGCCGCAAAAAAACCTTTCCTGCCGCTCTGCCAGCCTCAACTGCCGGCGGGCCGCACCTTGTGCAGGCGTGTCTGCGGGATCTGCGGGAAGTCGTGGTGCTCGTTGTGGTAGCCGACGTTGTAGGAGAGGAGGTTGAGGGGGCCGTAGTAGCTGTACGTCTCCTGGCCGCGGCTGAACATGTAGTGCTCTGGAGGGGCGGGCGGGGGAGGAAGAGACGTCAGCAGGTACCGCCGGCTGGTAGGCAGAGGGCTGCCATAACATGGCATGCTATGGCACCCTGCGCCGCCAGGTTTGCAGGAATGAAGGCAAACCGATGCAGAAACAGGCAGGCAAGCACAGCGCGGGGGGGTGCCGCACCTGCGATCAGGTGGCCGGCCATGGGGTGCAGGCCTCCGCCCAGCAGGCTGCCGGCCAGCAGGTACACCAGGCTCTTGATGCCCAGGAAGTACAGCACGCCCACGTCGGTGCCAATCACCAGGCCCCAGTTCACAAAGTCGGCGGCGGCTGCAGGGGTTCGGGTTGGGAGGGGTGTGAGAGAAGGCATGGGGTGCCGGTTCCGGGATTGAGCCAGTGACCTGGAGCCAGAGCGGCTACCAGGTGTGCCGGACATATGCACCAGCTTGCCAACCACAAAAGCAAGGGTCTCCAACAACCCATGTGCGAGGCTGACACACGCTGTGCCCGCGCAGCGAATCGTTGCAGCAGCAAGGCACGGGTATGGGCCAGCGGGGCGGCCAGTGCTCACTGATGGCCTTGGGGCGCACGATGAGCGGGCGCACGGCGTAGATGGCGAGGTAGATGAAGGTGAAGAAGAGCTTGGAGAAGAAGCCGGCAATCCAGCTGGACTCCAGCACGGTGGGCAGGTCGACGTCGCCGCCATCCACGCCCTGCAACGCGCCACCAGGGGGGAGGCAGGCGACGGGTTGGCGTCTGCGCGCGAGCGGCCCTGCCCCCCAGGCGCCACATGCACACCGTTGTCGGCCAGGCCAGCCCAACCCCCACATCGCCTCTGCCGGCCACGCCTTGCGGCCAAGGGTCGCCGTCGCCCCCAGCACTCGCCCCACCCCGCCCCCGCCACCCCACCCCCCAGCTGCCTCACCAGGAAGATGTGATGGTCGTGGTGGTACTCCCGGAACTTGACCGCCACCGGCACCACCAGCGGCATGTTGCCCACCAGGGCCAGCACCTTGTTGTACAGCGGCTTCTTGAAGGCCAGGAAGTGGGAGATCTCGTGCTGGGCGCAGAACAGGTTCTGGTTGAGCGTGCCGCTGACCACGTACGCAGCCACGGCCAGCTTCCACCACGCCCAGTCGCGCACCAGGGCGGCCATGATGAACTGGCACGCCACCACGGTCACCACCTGCGCCGGGGGGTGGAAGGCGGACAGTTGGCGTGAACTGGCGACGGCGGCGGGGGGCCCAAAAGCGGGGCTCGGCACCAGACGGCAGGAGCAGAGGCGCACAGCAGGCATGTGCAGCGGCGGGACTGCGCAGCCGGCAGCAGTGGGGTTCAAATTGAGGCGGCTGCTGACCCTATTCACATCAAACTTGCCGGCGAGCCACTGTGGCAAACAAACCCAACCAGTGCCAGCGGCTGCAAACCTGCCAGGCGGTGGCGTGATCGTAGCCATAGAGCTTCCTGATCTGGTCGCCATACTTGGCCAGCAGCTCACGCCGCCGGATGGCGTGCGGCTCGCCGCTAGACACCCAGAGGAAGCGCCCCGCCACCGGGCCGCTCTGCACCGCCACCATGCTGCTGCGCTGTTGTTGCCTGCTGCTGCTGCTGCAGGGTCCTGGGTGATGGTGTTGGGTGCTGGAGCAGGGCAGGAGAGCTTGTGTGGAGTGCTGGCCAGGGCGCTGGTGCGGGGTGGGTGGCGTTCAAACTGGGCTGGCTGGACGGGCGGCAGGCGGCTGGACAGCGGCGGGTTGGCCGCGTGGAGCGGCGGTTCAAACGGGGGGCTGCGTCACCACCAGCGACACGCAGCTCCTTTTGGGTGGGTGGCGGCTGAAGGCAGGAGGCGCTGTCGGGAGCTGGATGGTGCACCTGGTGCTCTTGCCGGCTGGATGATTGGCGCGGAAGGCCTGGATTTCAGCCTTCATCATAAGCCTCAAGTCCACCTCAGCGCGCGGCTCTCTCTCACCCATCGCGGCCCGATCAATTGCCCATTTTGACCACTGGCTCATCCAAACGCCCTCAGCCTTGGGGCAGCCCGGGCGGGCATCTCCACATCTCGACAGAACCCAAAGCATGGCGGCATACTGGCGTGATGCCCAGCGCAGGCTCTGCCATGTGCTGATGGCCGCCGGCCGCCAGCACGCCGCAGGTGAACACCACATCCCATGCCGCCGCCAACGGCAGCGGCACTGGCGCGTTCGTCTGAATGTTAAGTTCTATGCCCGTTCCTCCATCCCATGCTCCCACCCCATTCGCGCCATTGCAGGAGGCAGCGTGCCGGAGGTGCTGGCCGCCACGGGCATGCGCTGGCACTCCAACAAGCCTGTGGACACAGTGTACAGGTTGGTGGTGGGAAGGCGAGGGGCCAAGCAAGCAGCGACTGGCTGTTTGCTTGCTGCCTTGCCTGCACATGCATGCATGCATGTCATCGGCTAGGCCGCCAGCGTGTTTGTTGGCGTTCAGTTCCGGCACGCTGACATGCATCCAGTTGGCTTGCCTGACCGGGGCCCAATCTGCAGCACAGCCGCTGTGCCGAGTGCCTGCCCGCCTGCTTGCCCACCGCGCGCCCCACCAACCGCGCCGGCCTGGACCGCGGCGGCCGCCTGCGCTGCAGCGGGCCATCGGCGCCGTCGCCGAAGCGCGTTACGCTGCGCACGCTGCGTGACAAGTATCGGCGGGGCGAGCCCATCTCGATGGTCACAGCCTACGACTATCCCTCGGCGGTGCATGTGAGCGCGGGTGGCGGCGTGGGCATGGGGAAGCCTGCCTGCCTGCCTACCTGCAAGTACCTGGCTAGGTTCCTGCTCCCCGCCGCCCACACGCTTGCCTGTGTGGCCTGCCGCCTGCGCGGCAGGTCGACGAGGCTGGCATCGACATGCTGCTGGTGGGCGACTCTGTTGCCATGGTGGTGCACGGCCACGACACCACCCTGCCCGTCACGCTGGATGAGATGCTGTCGCACTGCAAGGCGGTGGCGCGGGGGGCGCGCCGCACCTTCCTGGTCGGCGACATGCCCTTTGGCTCGGGTGTGCAGGGTTGGCGGGGAGGGCAGGAGGCGCTGCTGCTGGAGGGGTTGCGGGTGTTGGGGCCGTTGCGCGCACAGCCAGGAGCGGCTGCCTGCCCCTGCTGGGAGCCGAGCTGAGGTGGCGTGCTGCTGCACCAGCCCACAAGCACCAGTGGCTGGCTGGCCACGTGGCAGACCAGCGGTGCTGCCTGCTGCTGGCCTGCCTGCTCAATGCATGACATGCCCTGCCTCCTGCCTCTCCGCCCCCTGCCCCCCGCAGTGGAGGTGAGCCCGGAGCATGCGGTGCGGTCGGCCATCCGGATGATGAAGGAAGGGGGCATGGACTCTGTCAAGATTGAGGGCGGGTTCAGCAACCGCGTGAAGGCGGTGCGGGCGGTGGTGGAGGCGGGGGTGGCGGTGGTGGGTCACGTCGGCCTCACCCCGCAGTCCATCAGCGTGCTGGGCGGCTTCCGCCCCGCCGCACAGTCGGGTGAGCCGCCAGGCTGCCGGCGCTGGCAGAGCTGGCATGCAGCTCTGGTTGCCGGGTGTGCTGGCTTGGTGTTGTGCTACAGTGCTACATGCCCCCCCCCACACACACACACAGCTTCCCCGCCCTCCTCCTGCCACGCTTTGGCTGCCGCGCAGCCAGCGAGGCGCTGCGGGTGATCAAGGAGGCCAAGGCGCTGGAGGCGGCGGGCTGCTTCTCTGTGGTGCTGGAGTGCGTGCCGGGGCTGGTGGCGGCGGCGGTGACGCGCGAGCTGGGCATACCCACCATCGGCATCGGCGCGGGGCCAGGCACCAGCGGGCAGGTAGGCGTGGGCGGCGTGTGTGTGTGTGTGTGTATGTGTGCGCGCGCGCGCGCATGTGTGTGGTGGGCGCGCGCGGCTGGCCCATTACGCGGCCCTCGTATGCTGCCGCGTCCATGCCGCCTGCCGCCCGCAGGTGCTGGTGTACCACGACCTGCTGGGCATGATGCAGCACCCGCACCACGCCAAGGTCACCCCCAAGTTCTGCAAGCAGTACTCGGCAGTGGGGGCAGTCATACAGCAGGTGGGGGCAGCGCCGGCAGGTTGGGACGCGGGCAGATTGGTGGGGGCTGGATGGGGACGATAGGCAGGGATGGTTAGGGGGCCTGAGATGGGCAGCCTCGCAGGACCATTGCTGGCGAGAGCATCGCTGGCGCGCGCCGACTGTTGCAGCCAATGAATGTGCTGCCTTTGCTGCGCGCCGCGACGGCGCAGGCGCTGACCGCCTACCATGCCGATGTGGTGACCGGCCAGTTCCCCTCGGAGGCCTTCTCCCCCTACAAGATTGCGGCTGACGAGTCGGCGCAGCTGCTGCGGGACCTGGAGCGGGAGGGGCTGCACAGCGCAGCAGAGGTGGTGGCAGACATGACGACAGAGGCGGCGTAGCGACCAGGTCGCAGCCTGCCAGTCGCGCTGCGCTGATGCTGCTTGCGGCGGCAGCAGTCCGTCCCTTGCCGCCGAGCAGCACGCCAGCGACGTTGCCTTCCTGTGCTGGCAGCCCCTCCCTGGCCAGCCCATCCCCAAGCCAGGCCAGTTGCCAAGCGCATTGCTGGCGCTCTTGGCCCTGACCACCTTTTGAGAGGTTTTCCTGTTGCTTCCTCTACTGTTTGTACTGTCAAAATTTTGCTCCAGCTTGCTGTCTCCTGCCACTTTTCGGTTCTGTTGGTGTGAGCGGACACACCAGGTTTTCCTAGCAATCATTGAACAGCACACTGCAGTTGCAGCAACAGCCATTGGCTAGATCAGATGCTGTGCATCGAGGCCCAACATTCCTTGTAAATGAACGGATGGGATGCAAATGAAAGCGAACCAGGAAGGGGGAGCATACGACAACGCGAGTGTAAGGAGAATGAAAGGGGAAGCAGCATTCTGCGCCTGGGGCAATGTGCCGCAGGCGGGCAGAGGAGCGGCTGTGTTGGTTGCAGTACAGCCACGCCGCCCTTCCCATCACGCCATGCCCGCCTCTGCCGGCGTCTTGGTGATGAGCGACAGCGCGTGCACCGGGCTGCGCAGCTCGTCGTCCAGGATCTGGTACACCAGGCGGTGCCGCTTGATGCTGGTCAGCCCCTCGAACCGAGCAGACACAACCTCCACGTTGAAGTGCGTCTCGCCGCTGTATGTGGCGCTGCCGCGGTAGCCTGCGGGACGGCACAGGGCGGGGACGCCATCAAGTGGCGGGGGTCAGGCGCAGGGGTGCAGGCCGAGGGAGCTTTGCGGCCGCAGCAGTGGCGCAGCAGCACGTCCCTGCATGGCGCGCAGCTAGACGCTGCCCAGCACTGCTGCAGCTGCTGCCATGCGCCTCACCCCCGTGCCCCGCGTGCTGGTGCGAGTTGTCCACAACCTCCAGCCGCAGCGGCTGCAGCTCCTCCCGCAGCTTGCGCTGGATGCTGTCTGCCACGGGCGTGGCGCTGGCCTCGCTGTTGTTGCCGTTGCCATTGCCGTTGCTGCTGCCCTGCTGCTGCTCCGCCGTGCCGGCGCCGGCCGCCCCATCGCCGCCGCTGCTGGCGCTGGCTGCCATGCCCTCGCTGTCGCTGCCCGCCTGCTGCTGCATGTACATGTCCAGCGCTTTCTTCTGCATCAGCTTGAACATGTTGAGGAAGCCGTTGTTGCGTGACGGCGTCAGGCTCTGCTGCAGGCCCAGCTGGGCGATGAAGTCGGGCGGCATCCGCACAATTTCCTGCGGGGTGCACCCGCTCAGGCCCTGTACCAGCAGCGCCGCCAAGCCCTGCACCCAGGCACGCAGGAGCGCGCGGACGAGCAGCGTCAGGGGGCAGCAACCAAGGCTTGGATGCTAAGCAAGGCGGGTGGGGCCCAGTTGTGCGGGCTGCCGCCCTCACCTTGGTCAGCTGCGAGTCGGAGTCTGCTTTCCAGTAAATCTTGTCATCCCGCAGCTCCGCAATCACCCAGACCTGAGCGGGGGGCAGAGGCGGCGTTCTGGGCGTGCTTTGGGGGGCGGGATGAAGCAACAAGCTGTGGTACTGGCGGCTGGCATGGCTGGCCTGCTCGCCGGCCCGCACCTGGCTCACGCAGCCCTTGACCTTGTTCTCCTCTGTGTGCTCCTCCACAGGGAAGGGCTGCAGCTTGGTGGCGAAGAACAGCAGCTGCTTGTAGCGCTGCAGATGGAGGGAGGGGACGAGGGCGTGCGGGGCAGGCAATGCGACCAGTTGGCAGGACAGTAAACAGGGTCCATGCTCCATCCACGAATACAGGCGCGGCGATTGCCACGGGGGTGTGCCGCCGCCGCCACCCCGCTCACCGCCATGGGGTCGGGCACCGCCTGAAACGCCTGGACCAGCGTTTTCATGCTTGTGGGCAGCTCGGTGGCCGCTGCTGAGCAGCGAACGGGCGCGGCCTGCACGGTGGGGCGAGGACTTCAGCCATGGAGGTCCAGAATGCGCAGCGATGGCAGTCGTGGATCAGCCAGTATGCAGCGCCTGCCCCACTCACATGCCGCCTCGCTGCTGCCACCCCCCGGCTGCAGGCCGCCAGCCTTCGGCTCGGCGGGCGCAGCGCCGGCCTTAGGACTGGTCTGCAAGCAGCAGCAGTCGCCATAGACATTTTGCTGGGAGTCGGCAAGCGCGGGCTCTGTGCTATCCCGATGGGCCAGCTCGTGCTGACTGGCGGCACTACCACCCTAAGAACTCCCCAGATCGATCGGGTTGTCCACCCCAACAACCTACAAACGCCAGTGGTCCGATCAGGAGCCGGCCATAGTCAGTGCTCAGCGCCCAACATGACATGCCAGACGCATGGCGGTGGGGTGGGGCCGTTGACCGTCTGCCAGTGTGTGGCACCTTTCATCAGGGTTGGTGGGCTATGTTTTTACAGTTAAACAAGGGAGCAGTGCGATCAAAGGTACAGGGTAAAATGCGGCAGGCAAACATCTATAAGAAAACTTGTCAGGTCGACGTCATGCAACGAAGCTAGTGTGGCAGCGATTGATGCAGAAACACATGACAACAACATGATTGAACAGAATTAACCACAGGAGTGAGGAGAGAGCAAGTGATGAAGTTTGTGCAAAGGCGGTTTTGGAGATCTACAGTTCTAGAGCGGGCTAGCACTTGGGGTATGGGAACTTCCAGCTGACGTTCAATCTACCAGATCTGACGTCCCATTGACGTCCACGTCTAGTCTTCTTCTGAGCACGTCACATGTACGTCCAGGGACCGGCCATTGACGTTTGTGTACGTCCCACACACGTCAGAAAAGGTCACATTGACTTCTCTTGACCTCTCTTTGACTTCTCTTTGACTTCGGTGGATGTCTACAAATGTAAATGGAAATCAATTGACGTGTGTCATACAGCAACAATATGTCACAGGCAGCCAGGCAGGCAGCCAGGCTGGCTGCTTGGCAGGCCCCCAGGATCCCAGAAATCATTCATTGCCCTCGTCCTCGCTCTCCGGCACAGACTCAAACGACTCGTCCTCATTGTTGTCATCTTCATCGCTGTCGACATCTGACACCACCACCTGCCGGCGCGACCGCCGGCTGCGGCGGTTGCTGCGGCCTTCATCCAGCTCAGCAGCTGCAGCTGCCTCTGCGGCCCGCTTCCTCTGCGCCCGCTCTGCCGCATTCTGGCGGTTCGTCTCCCTCCTCTGGGCTTTCTCTTCTTGCACAAACGTCTCCAGACCCGCCAGGTACTGCACGGTTGGAGGCGCACCCAGGTGTGGTGGTCAGGAAAAAGGGGTTTGCTGTAGGGTCATGACCAGCACAGGGTGATGATCAGCACAGCATACGGGCTGCCACTCCAACATCTGCTCATGAGCAGGAAATCCAGCAACCCTAATAGTACTCACTTTTCATCTGCAGCGCTCCCCTTCAACAAGCACACAATCTGTGTCCACTCACCTCCTCATCTTGAAGATTGTTGCTGCGGTTCTCTGCATTCTCCATCGCAGGTGCCTCCTCTGCCTGCTCTAGCTGCTCTTGCTCCAACTGCGAGGCATGGGTGCGGTGGAGTGGGCGGGGGGTGGGGGAGGGGGGTAGATGGCGATGCATGGATGGAAGGGGACTCAGCTGTCACAGGCAGGCAGGCAGGCAGGCACAACACAGGCTGAGACGCAGGCAAAGGCTGGACGACAAGAGGGTGGGCAAAACGGGGCAAATTCTTGTACTTGCCTCATGGCGGGTCTCAGGCGGCACGTGCCTGCTGCATTCCTGCTTAGCCAGCAGCCGGCGCCTCATTCTTGTCCCGCCACTCCCCATATGTGCGCTCCCACGCGGCTGCTGCTGCAATGCGCTCCTCAAACCAATCCGGCTTGGCGGCACCCTTGTAGTGCTTTGCAAGCACACCGTTGGTGTTGGAGGTGTACTGCAGATGATGCGGCGCGCCTTATAGTCACTAGGCTCCATTGCAGGCAGACGCTTGGCTGATGCCCAATACTGCACAACACAACGGGGAAGGGTATGCACAACCGGTACGGTGTGTTGTTGGCGCTGTCAATTCGGGAAGCAGTAGCTTGCCAAGCAAAAAAACATGCCTCTTGTAACGTACATGCTTGCTGTGGGCCCACCTTTAAGCAATGGGCAGCACGGGTAACGCTCAACGCCCAATGGCCTTCAGTGACCTTCACCACCGAGCCGTCAGGCAAGGGGCAGGCCCGGACCCCTTTCTTGATGGTGAAGTAGCCTGCACATGGAAGGGGGGTGGGTGGGGTGGTGGGGGTGGGCGGGCAGGCTTGCTTGCTTGTGTGGGCTTAAAGTCTGGTAAAGCAAGAACTAGCTTGCAACATAGACTCCCCGCCGAAACGGGACGGGAACCGGGCGAAAGCAGAGAAAGCAATAAAACAGGGGTGGAGCAAGGCGACATGCAACGCAAGCAGCTGACAGGGCACGCATCGAAACGTGTGTATGACTGGCAAAGTGGCATGGCGCATTGGGGAGAAACGCAACGGTACGGGAGCATGGGCTGGCCAAACGGCAGTGCGGAACGCTAGGTCACTAGAAAAGCAGGGAAAGGCGCACTATGTATGCAATGAGGGCAGCCCCGGCTCGGGGCCGTTGAGAAAGCAGTGGGCGGGAGGGGGGAGGCCCCGGTGTGGGCGGGCCCCATCGAGGGGGGATGGGGCGCGCAAGCGGCCAGATGGGGCGGGGCGCGGGCGGCAGTAGAGTCCTGCGGCTGGGTGGGATATAGGGCAATGAGCGTTGAGCAGTGTGCGATGAGCAATGAGCAATGAGCAGTGAGCAGCCCCTCCCGAAACAAAGTGAAGCGCAGGACGGGGTCCGGTGGATGGGAGGCAAGAAGCGCGGGGGGTG